GACTTTGTGTTCTTCACTGTACCTGATATCTCGGTTAAACCGCCAAGAGCCTCAAGCATGAGGTCTACACAATGTGCTGCACATGGTGTCCAAAAGATTCTAAGATAAGCAGCAACATTAAGAGCAGCATTGTCTGGGACAACCTGTACAACAAGATGCTCCCCAGCTTCCTTGATTCCCTTCGCTATAACTTGGAATATGTAATGGGCATCATGGATATGATCAGAGGCATCAATAGACCTACAAAAATAGTCCTTGAAGGACAATTCACAAGCAAATTCATTTGACTTCTTCTCTTTCTATCACTCCAAGCATCAGTCATAATAGAAACCACATACTGAGCCCATGCATCCTTCTTAACTTCTACAGCTTCCTTCGTGACACTCACTGCTGTTTTCAAAAAAGGCTCTGAAAGCTCATATGGGGTTGGGGGTTTCATCCCAGGCCCAAATTGGCCAATTGCCTTTATCGCGGCATAGAAGCTGCTTAGGCGAGCAGTATTGAATGGAATGCCCGCCTCATAAAATCATGTAGCAACATAATAAGCAGCTCTATCTCTCTCTTCCTTATTCATTCTATTTTCAACGGTGGTTTGCTTCTTTGTTCTCTCTCCAGCAACTTCAAGGTCAGGCCAAGGCAAAAAACTATCCATAGGGCCTCTAACCCGAGGCTTCTTACTCCCAAAACCAAAAGCAATTACACTCCCTTCCCTTCCCCCTAATAATGGATTGTTTTACCTATTGACATCCCTCCCCAATACCATCCTCATCACTATCATCATCATCATATAATTAACCTGAACCCCAGACTTAATCTCTACTATGGAGGCAAATCTATCATCTTTTTTCATTTTTACCATACTCAAAAAATAGGTTATTTCCTCTTTAACAACATCAAGAGTATTTTTACATGGGGCAACATCCCCCTGATAACGGCAAGATGTTTCTTGAACCGATTTACGCCCCCTTTTGTATCCTTCTCACAAAACTTGCATCTTATGCAAGTTTTATCATTAGGATCTGGGTTGTAGCCATATTTCCAACCGAGATCACCACTCCTATTATTTCCCGAAGAAGACATCTTAAATAATACAACTTGTACAAGCAATAAAAAAAAAGCACTTACTTTGATTGCTCAATCTCCAAACTTCCACCTTATAGATGCTTCTAAAGAATCAAAATCTTTTAAAAAAAACCCAATAGATTTATAAAACGTCAAAAATTAAATCTAATATCAATGGGTGATGTTTTGATCAATTTCTCATAACTTAGAGAAACCCTTCGATCCTAAAGAAATCACCAAAACAAAGTTTTTTGGGGGCTTTCTATCTCTAAAATGGGCTGTAATGAGTTTTAGGTTTCAAATGAATCTAAAACCCTCATTTTTGGCCCCTTAGTATAAAAAAATAGACAAAAATAGCCCCCACCAAAACCTTTTTTCGCCTCTGGGCGAGGCGCTGTACCTGGGCGGCCGCCTAGGTTTGGGCACTGGGCAGCCGCCTAGGCGGTTTCCTGGGCACCCAAGAACCTACGCTTTTTTTGGGGCACCTAGGCCTGGGCGATGCGTCCAGGCCCCCAGATCCGCCTAGGCGGCCGCTCAAGCGCTGGGCAGTCCGCTTTTTGAAACACTGAGCTCACTCTTGGAGGACTTATTGGATAAAGCTTGAGTTCTTAGGTGGCCCCACACTTTCAACACTAAAATCGATGGTATACAGAAAACATGTGTTTATAACCACACATTCAATAAGATTACCATGGAGCATAGATTTCACATATCTAGGCTTGATGACATGCTGAAAATATTGAGTGGCACTTGATTTTCTTCAATATTGACTCAAGGAATGGATACCATACCACCAAATTCATATTCGACTAGGGAGTTCTCTTCACGAGAACATTGCATTGCATGGGTCTTGTCAAGCAATTTGGTTGAGCTAAGTACTTCAGGAAAGTAGAGAGATTTTCAGCACAGGTTGAGGTGCAACATGAAGTGATATGTAGAATGCTACCATGTTTGTCAAGTTTTAAAGGCCAGTCTTAGAATACTGACCTCTACGCTCCACTCCACTCCCTATCCCAGGTTTTCCTTAGGAAGATGTGAGCATGGACTTTGTGTTAGGTTTGCCTAGAACCGCTAGGAGGTAAAATTTTGTGTTTGTATGGACCATTTTAAAAAATGATCCATTTCATTTGTCAAAAGGATGCATCTCAAGTTGCAAACTTTTCTTAAGAGAAGTCATTCGCCTTCATCATCTACCTATGTCGATCATCTCGAATCAAGATATTGGAGCCCTGAGTCATTTGCGGATAAGACTATGGTCAAAACTAAGTACAACTCAATATTTAAGCAATGCATAACATCCTCAAATTGGTGGGCAGAATGAGGCAATCAATCATAGTTAGGTTTTGAGATGCTGAGCCAGTGGGGTTTGAGTCCTTTCTATGCAGATTTTGCTTGTAACAGTTCGGTAAACCAATCGCCCGAGAAGTCTCTGTTCAAGACAGTGTACAGTCACTCCATTCCGCACGTGCTAGACCATGTTCCATTACCTTGGGTGGGAGGGAGCAGTGCTGAAGCTGACAAATATGCCCAATACATCAAGGAAATACAGAAGGAAGTCCTTGACAGGTTCAAAGCCAATCAGCCAACTCCCTAGGAATGAGAAGGCCGCAGATGAGCGTCCAGGCGACCAATTATATTCTGTGGGAGACTCTGTCGTGGTACATCTGAAGCTTGAGAGGTTTCCAATTGGTACTTACGATTAAGTTACATCGGAGAAGTACTCCAAAAGATTCTCAAGAAGTCAGGTGATAATGTTTCTCCTAGACTTTCATGAGTACATCACACCAAGCTGATCTTTAAAATTGTCAATCTCTACATGTTTCAAGTAGAGATCCACTTATACACTTGGATCAAGGGCTCGTAACGGGCTGGCCCAGCTATGGACTTAACCCAATTTGGGTCCCTACAAGGTCAACCTGGAATACATTATTTTCAAAAGAAAAAAAAAAAGAAAACTAAGGGGAATCACCGGACTGGAAAGAGCCATGGCCCAAGCCGAGGACTGGACCTCGGCCCATATTTTGGGACCAAAGCGCTAGTTTTGAAGGTTGGGCCGAACAGGCAGGGCTCCCTGGCCCATTGCAAGCCCTACTTGGATGTTGGTTTGCTGGGGACTCTGGAGCTACCAAGAGCTTATGAGGATGAAGATATGATGGATCTTCGAACCATCAATACTTGTGGTTCATACAGGAGATACTTGGTTTGTTGGGGAAATCGCCCATTCACTGATTGTCTGAAAATTGATGAACATGCATTATGGAGCAGGAGAATGTTTATAAGCGCTCCATGGAGTAGTACAGGGTCGAGTTCTTCTTAACTCGGAGGGAATTGATGAGGACATCATGGAATTAGGTTTTTAAATTTTTCTTTTCCTGTTTTAGAGATTGAAACTAAGGTTATTTGGTGTTTTAATTCATTTTTGATATCTTAAGGTACATATGCCTTCTAGAGTTGTGGAGGATTTAGGGGTATTTTAGAAGCTGATCAATTTATTTAATTAGGGATATTGCTTATTGTCAAGACAAATTGCATACAAGGGGAGAGACGGTGTCAAGGCTCTAGGATGCTTATTTTTTAAAACTTTGTGAAGAGAGAAAAAAAATCTAGAGGACTTTGATTGCAGACCATAGAGAAGGTTTATAGCTCATCCCAAGGTCCCTCACTTAAAAGGTAATCTCTAATTTCTTCTACTCTCCTTTCCCCTGTACTCTCTTCATCTCCTTTCATCCTAGTCCCCCCCCCCTAAATTCCTTTGTCCTTTCCTTTCTTTCCCTTCTTCCCTTTTCTTTCCTTGAAATCTTTAGTATTCTTCCTCCTCTCTTAATTTTCTTCTTTTGCCCTTATTTTCCCTGTTTTCTTCCTTTTTTATTTTTGTTTTTTGCTCCTTCACCAAACCAGCAAACAATCCCCAATTAAAATCCACCAAAATCTAAACGTAACCAATATGTCCTTCCTAGAATTAACCTAAAATAGAATTTGAAACCTTGACCCTAATTTCGCATCTAAAGTCAAAACCCTAATTTCTTTACACGCCCTTAATTTGAGAACCCTAGAACTAGTTGTGGCAATCCTCAGGAATTCATTTCGAGTTAGTCTATGCCCTCATTTCTTCTCCGGGGCTGTAGGCTAGCTTTAAATTTGATTGGAATCAACTTTATTTAACTAATTTTATTTGAAGACAGATGTCAATCCATAACGGACCCATTGCCCATGCACTCAAGCAAATTTGTAATTGCATGTTAATTAACACAAGTTTGTTATTCAGTTTTGTGGATGATTATTTAGATATTTAACCTTATTTGAATTTAAAGTGCTCTCGAAAACATGTTTTAGGATCTAGTAATCGAAGATTGGTTACTGATCGATCTTAAGTTGCATCGGTCTTGTGATAACAAGCACCACCTTCCAAATCTGTTAGTGATGTCAGTAAAAATAGCCAACTATGCAATGTTGTGATGGCTAACTACAATTAACAGTATGAATATTAGTGATCTGTTGACCTCCAGAGTACATCTGTAATTTTGAGGATCAAAATATTTTCATCATAAAAATATCTGAATGTTTGCATTATTCAGCCGTCCAGAATTTCTGAGAAGAGATCAACCTAGTAACAAACGATTATGCATCATGACTTGCATTCAAAGCTATCAGTCAGTAGATTGATGATTACCTGAACAAGCATTTAAAACTTTTCCAAAGAAAACCCAACAAGCATTCCATAGAAATGGTATGCATCAAGTCAAAGTTATCTTGCACAAAAGTCACAAACAAATATAGGATAACAATGTACAGAAAAAATAAGAAAAATATGAAGAGAAAGGAAGTGCTGCGATAAACAAAAATTGAAGGAACCAAAAAAGTGTAGCAACAGTACACAGTTGCATGAATTGTTCAATTAATTCTAATTATTCTGATGGAAAAGGAGGCAGATAGTACACTGGTTGTGATGCAGCCCACGATACTTCTCCATGAGAGTACAGATAGAGATATGCTGTCATACTTGAAGGCACAACTATAGTCATCCATGTGGCACACTGCATGTATGTCATGTAGGAAAAGAGAGTAACTGTCAGCCTATGAAGAGAGAGGAAACTAAACAGTATGCAAAGAGAAAGCTAAGTTTAAACATAGACATACAGCAACTTCCAATAAATAATGTTTCTTAGCATAGCTGATTATCTAGTAACCAAATATAGATGGACAACACATAAGAAATCGTATACTCCATTTTGTACGGATGAACACTTCAATTTCTCATTTGACACTCACAGATTGCACGAGATTTAAATGGATGCTGAGTTCTGGTATTGATACAACATAAAGATTAGGAAAGGAAAAGAATGATGCTAGGAGAATGAACAGAATTGGACAGGAAAAACAAGAACTCGTTAGAAAACACGAACAAGCAACACCATTAATATGGAAAAATGTCCAACTCCTAACTAGTATAGTTAAGATCCAGGAAAAACCAGTTTCTCCATTTCTTCTAAAATCAGGAATTTTATCTCTGTGCTAAAGAGAATGATAAAAATAAAAAATATACACATATTCCAATAAAATACTAACCCTGGAAGTAAATAATATAATGATGTCTACACCCATACAACATCCACCAACTGAGTACCATAACTACATGCTACTAGATGCAGCTTATATTTTTTAGTACACCAAAAACACATCGAACTTTGCAAGCGAGCAAAAGCAGAATGGGATAAGAAACTGAAGGTTAATATATATCATCATCAAAATAACATGCATGTAAAAACTACCTCTATTGAAAATGAAACAATAATCCTTTGAAAAGAAACGAACATGAAATGAGAAAATTAAAGGCTTCAACAATTTGTAATAAATGAGTTACTCACCGTCCATGTTTCTCTGTGAGTAAGATGGGTCTGATCAAGATCAAATATTTTTGCATAATTAACAGATGATTGTGCAAAAACCCAAAGATTGATCCCCCAGAGCCACACCATCATAGTCTGCAACATTTGACAATGCTATTCAACGCTTCATGTAAAAATTATGTATGCCCAATGAGCAGCAGACAACGAAATAGAGACAAAACAACAAAATTGGTCACTGCAATGATACCCAATACATAATTACTAACTCACCACAAGAAGTAGAGGATTATAATATAAGAATGCTTCATACAGAAACAAATCTCGTAAATCTGCATTCATTCGCAGAACGGAATCGATGCCAATCTGCAAGTTCAGGGAAGCATGAATTGTGCAGTACCATATATAATCGCAAAACACTTTCAAGCATTAATCCAAGCATCCTACCCAGTCCAGGAAATGATACAACTGACACTCACCTTGCAGCAGATAAAACCCCACAAGGAAAATAGCAGAACCTAATAAAAAGCATCAGGTAGATATGATCAGTGCTTACCAACAAAAACCTCATATTCAGACATAAAGCAGATTAGCAGAAAAGATGCTGCGACATATCGAAGAAATTCTTCAACTCCACGACATTGGCAGTACAAAATGCCTCATTTATTCATTGGTTTGAAGGACTGTTGGAAGGAACAACTTGAGGCATTACAGCACAATCAATGCTAGATATATCAAGAATGCCAATTTCTTGGATTGGTAACATCTTACTCAAAATACCTTATCTATTCATTCGTTTGAAGGACTGTTGGAAGGAACAACTTGAGGCATTACAGCACAATCAATGCTAAATATATCAAGAATGCCAATTTCTTGGATTGGTAACCAATGCAAGTCACATCTTACTCAAAATAATCAAAATCCATATGCATGCCAACATATCTCAATTCCCCGCCATAGACAGTTTGAACCAAAAAAGAGTAAGTATTTGCCGAAAATACAAAAGACAAATTGAGGAACAATCATGTGTATTTATTGACGAATTCTTGGATAGGAGACAAAGCCAAATGCCAAATGAAAATTGAGACACTCTTTAAAAGTTTGGTATGTAAAGACATGTTGAATCTATCAACTAGACTTGAGTGCTTCCCTTTCAACAACATTCACAACGAACCATAGTAATTTCAGGTTAACACATACTAACAAGAGGGGATAACTAATGATTCTTGGCCTGCAGAAAACATACTATAGAGCATAAATATTAAAATGACAGGATATCGAGTTTCTGTTTTATTTATTTATCTTGAGAATGAAGAACAGAAAACAAGGAACTTGTACACTTCATTTAGATACCGTGTGTGCATTTTATCCATGTGCAGACCAACTCCTCTATGCCATTTTAACAACTCACCAAATAATTGCCCATACAATTTATCTTTTTAAGAAGCCATCAGAGAGATTTACTACCACTCCATTTTAGAAAGGAAACTAAAAATTCAGGGAAGTGACAGAGGCCCATCCAAAAATCCAAGCAACAAATTAGGGGGACACAGAAAAGCATACCTACATCATGTAGAGTTAACCCAAGTTTGAAAAAAATTTGCATCACGCAGAAATGTTTGTGAACAATAACTGCTCATTTAATTTTGGAAAGACAAGAAAAATAAGCATGCACGCCAAATGCAAGAAAGATACGCAGCATGTTCCTTTAAGCACAATACCACAGCAAAAACACAGTCAGAAAAATATTTGATATTGCAAAGCACATTTTCCCGCTATTTCCTTTTTTTTTTTTTTTTTTTTTTTTTGTCTTTTCTGATAAGCTATTTCCCATATTCTCCAAAAATGCATTTAGTAACATGCAAAACTCGTAAACCAATTAATAAGGGTACTTTCTGAATGCATGGAACGGAGAGTACAACCTTGAATCTCCATAGAAAAATTGGAGATGGCATTATAGCTGCGCCGTGTTTTGAAGTATCACCCGTCTTCATTTCACTTGCTTCTATTGGTAAGGAGAATACTTCATCAACATCAATAGGTCTCTCAGTTGAGCCTATAGCAATGATATGGAATTCAGTAAGTTCCATAGCTCTTATAACGTGCAAAATTAAATCAAGCATCAATGCCAAATGAATATGCTAAATTACCAAACGAATATGCATCAAAGCCAAATGAATATGCAAAAGAATTGTAATTTCACCCAGTGAACTATACGCATCAAGCCAAATAAATATTTGAAATGACTGTATCTTTACCTGGTTCAGAAACAACAGGTCTACTACTAGACCGCCGGAGAAAGGGGCTATTAGTGGAGATTGTCACATGACCTCCAAACATAGATGACGATATCATAAATGATAGATAGTCAGTTCCTCACCTTTGAGTTAAGACCTGCACAAAAATACAAAATGTGAAAAATGCCGTTTTACTGAATATGAATTTTACCGAACTATGAAACAATTTGAAACCAAAACTCGTGAGCTGAACATATGGTATCACAGTTTAGGTTGGAGGAATCCAACTATGACAATTAATATTAAATTTTCTGGTTGTCATAAGAATCATACACAATAAGGAAAAAAACATATTTTCAACTTTATAACCAGACCTCTCATAAAAGTTCAACAAAATCAAACCCATAACCATATTCTTCAGTATTTCCAGAAATATGCATTGCTCTACGATTCCTAAGCTCCAAATTTTCAAACAATAAATAACAAAATAATGCAAAATAAGCACTGGACATTGAAATTATAAACCCAAATTTAAGCTTTTCCGCACAGATCACAAACATTATGACAATACAAAAAATTATTCACCAAAGAAGGAAAACAGGTGGAAATAAAAATCATAAAGTGAAATAACTCTATACCCAATAACGAACTTTTCAACAAGGATGCAGCGTTTTTGGAAAAACAAAAAAAGATTGAATTTTTCAAATAAATAAGAAAAAAAAGAAGAATGATGGGCCTGTACAAATACCTTCCTCTGATCTCTCCAGCTCCGCATCCTCACATAAAAAAAGCCGAACTGCTATTTTGGGTCACAATTCAGATTTAACCCTAACACTGAAAACTAGTCTATATATATTTTGGAGTGTATGTAAGGCGCTGCCTTTCTCAAAGATCTGTAAATTGATGAGATCGTCAAAGCAAATTTTCATGAAAACGAAAGAGAATGATCTGAAATCTGCTGATTCTCTTTCTAATAAATTCCGGGCAAAATTCTTCTTTTTTCCTGAATCCTTATTTTAATGAGAGATCCAATTTTCCAGTTTTTCAGTTTCTGAGAGAGAGGGATTCTTCGTTTCGTTTTGAACACATGACCGCACAAGCGCACATAAAACGACAGAAAAAAAAAAGGAAAAACAAAATTTGTGGAAAAATAAAATTTGTGGAAATAACCCTCGGATTTTTATTGGATTGTGCGAGACTATTTATTTTTTATGTAAAGAGGTCATAATTACATAATTACTTCTTGTCCTTAGATGTTAAATTCGATGCTTGGGGTATGTCGTGAAGTTTGATAATTTTATTTTTGAACATAGAATTTAGTCAACGACACATTTGTAACCACTCAATTTAAAATCTGACGGGTGATGATTGTGATTTTTTTATATTAAAAATAAAATATATTATTTTATATACTTTTTATTTTTTATTGACATAAAAATAATAATTTAGTGTATTGGCGTAATAAACTTTATTACTTTTTTATTGAGTGCTATATTGTACTCTTTTGGAGCATACTATATATTTACTTTCTTGGATAAAATACTTGTTTAAGAGTTTTTTTATTTGAAATTTGGGATCCATAAAATTATAACTAGATAACTATTTTCAAAGGAAAACATTTGGATTTTGAGTTCTGGAACATCTAAATTATTCCATCCAAAAATTCGATGGTTCTAGTGCAATCTTGAGATGCCATTTTTTGGGTAATTCAGTGGGGGAGAATGTCTTGTATCCGAATTTTTCATTTATAAAAAAAAGAAGAGCATATTATTTTACAATTTTATAATAAGACAGTTGCGTCAAGCCATGTAATAATAGAATTAGAGTTAGAGTCATATTTATTTATTTATTTATTATTATTCTTATTCTTATGTTGGTTATTACGTTTTATAGATTATATCCCCAATTTTAGGGATCTAAAATATATTCTTAGTATAAATTTTACCTGAGAAAATAAATGGATAATATGCTCCAACTGAAGTAGAAAATCCTTTGACTTTTGTTTTTTGTATTTAAATTAAAAAAAAAAAAGATTATCTTACGATAAAAAATGCTCCTAAGGCCCAAGAAGGGCAAGGCTAACATCGGCTCAAAGAAGTTTCCCCAAGGTTTGAATCAGCCTTAAATTTAAAGCATTTTGTGTTTAACTGTGGGGGGTTCTTTTCCGTCCAAATTGACTAAAATTTTGATAGAGGGGGCCAGTGTAAAGATAAGTTACATTAGGGTTTACAGTGGGAACAAATGACTATTAGGGGGACTATGTATAAAAAGATCACAAGGGTTTATAGGTCGAAGCTCTAGGTTACTTTAGCGTTTTCTTGTTTGTTAACATGGAGTTTTCTTGTAAGACGAAGCTTCTTGTTTGTTAACTGCTACAAAAAAAGTAGCTCTAGGAAGTCTTGGGTTATTAAAAAGAACATTGATCCAATGTAACGGTTGTATCATAGTATAATGCAATAATATTTTTAGAAACTTATGTTTGTGGTATTTGTATGACCTCAAATTTTATATACGTACTCTCTTCATCTCAATAATCAATCTCTCAAAAAAAAAGTTCAATTTGAACATTAGATATGGTCAAAACGAGTCCCCTCAAAAAAAAAATCTAAACCATTCATTTTGTGAATTTCAAGATATTAACCTTTATAAATTCAAATCATTTTTTTATTTTTTAACATTGTTCATCTAATGATAATAAGGCCATCCAAAAAAATTAGAAATGAACAAATCCTTCTAAGGCCTAGATCTGAGCATCTCACCAAAATAAACGGCCTATGTTAATTGGGTTAAAAAAATACTTTATAGGTTATCTTTTCAATTTTTTCTTTTTTTGTGATTGTTCATTAGAATGAAAATAGTGTATATTTCAAAATTTGGATCAAACAAATAACCATAAGATAGTTTTTTAAGGTTGTTGCATCATATTATTATACAATGGTTGTATGAAAAAATTGCACGATTGCATGAAATCATTACTAAAAAAGAGCAATAAAAACATGTAGGAAAAGAACCCGCGCTTAATTGGTTTGCTCTTAAAGATTTGCAACAATGAAACTTAAGCTCAATTCCTACCAAAGGCAAGGGCCCTCTCCCCAATCCCACTGACTCACCTAAAGCTCTCCCCACTGACTCACCTAAAAAAAATAAGAGCATGTAGCTTCCATCCACATAGAATAAAAAAAAAAGCTTCCATCCACATGGAATCCGTAAGATGTCTTATTTATAGTTTGTAACTCGTATTTTTTTTTTTTTCGCTTCATGTGTTATTTCTCTAATACTTTTCTCTCCCTACCATTCTCTCTTTAACTCTTTTCTTTCTCCATGTTTGCTCTCTCTCTAATGCCTCTCTCTTTGACTCATCGCTCCAACTTTAGTCATTCTCGCACTCTTTCTGTAATTATTTTCTCTCTCTAACCGTACTATCTTTCTTCTTAAATCATCTCTCTCTAAATCTTTTCTATATCTAATCATAACTTTTATATATAACTTTATTATTTCTCTAATAGTATCCTCTCTCTTACCACACCATTTCTCCAAATTCAACTCTCTTTTTAAATAGGTCATTTCACGCTCTGAGTTCTTTTATCTCCAATTATATCATTTTTATCTAAAGTCAATGTCTCTAACTATTTTCCCTCTCTAACCCTGTCTTCTCTCTATTTTGTCCTTTTTCCTTATTTTATTATGTCTCTCTCTATGAAGCTTTGTAACAAACCACTATGACGCATGTTCTATATATCTGAGAACCGTTATATAGGTTATCAAACAAGTATTTAGAATTTTTAGGTATCCAACTTCCAAATTCCAAAAATTCCCCAACTTCCAATTACTAACTGCGCCACAGGTTTTTTATTGGGAAAAATCATGGTGCATCCTACTTAGATGCACCCCCATTTAAAAATATTTTTAGCTTTTTTTATGCTTCCCATGCAAAATAGGGAGGGCTTTTTATGTGACCCCACCCACATATATAATATATGTGACCCCTGGCCTCAGCCATTAGATCTGAGGAGATGGTTGAGATGACTTGAGTCACAATGTCACAAGCTAGTACTTAACCGTCAAATCTTAATCAGACAGATCATAGTATTTTATTTTTTGTTTTTATTCTACAAATAATTTTGAAACAAAATTTGGGACATGCATAGATCTGCACATATGATTAAAATACTTAAAAAATAGTTCTGGTGATGAAAAATTACCAAAATACCATTGAAAATTGCAGGGGGAATTTTGATAATTTATTTTTACATAAAATATTTTTGTTTTATTTTTTTCGAGGTTCCCCCTATTTTTCTGTTGGGACATCCAAATTTTCATAAAAAATATTTTATAGAAAAAATAAAAAATAAAACTGACGTGACATTGTGGTATGAACAATCGTAACCATTCGATCTAAATCGAACGGCTGAAAAATAGGGTCACATATAACTTATATGTTGTTGGGGTCACATAGAAATTTTTCCCTATAAGGGAACTCCTGCTCAAGCCGGTTTGGTCATTGATTTGGTTGATTGAGCAAGTTCATTAAATACATACTGCAAATGGCTTTCAGATAAATACATCTTAAGTCACTCTAGATACATCTCTTTCATAGATTCATAATTTTGCATGTTAAAAAACAATGCACTTCTAATGATATACAAATAACTAAAATGGATTGTCTAGGAAACTAAATTTCAACAAGAGAAATTTATCTTCAGGCTAGGTAAAATTAACAAAAATACCCTTTGGTCCATATTTTCACATATTTTATCATGAGATCATTCTTTTGTATTTTTTTTTTTTAGTTTTTTCAATTTTTCCTTAGGTTCAATGTTGCAAATATCGAACTGCATTATTTTTTGTGGTTTTCAAGGTAGTATGATGACAAGATATTGGATGAACCCAAGTATGAGGTAGTTCGATATTGGAAACATGGAACCGTCCTATCATATTGTGGAATTAAATGGGGTTGTCCGATATTTGAAATATTGAGCTATATTAAAATTATATATGTATGAAAAAAAATGGGCAGTTTGATATTTCTAAAGATCAAACTACCTAATTTAGGTCACTAAGAAAGAGAAAAAGGATATAAACATAAAATATTAGGGAATGCCTTTTTTTAATGATCCTACTTAACGATATATTAGTGTAAATTTCTCAAATTTATATGAAAATGGGTGTGGTTTGGGTAAGGTTGCAACCCTAATCAATTAAAATTGGCACACACTCAAACTTTGTTATAAGATGCAATTTTGGTGTAAAAAATTATTAGGATAGCATGAGACTCTATTTTTATCTTTAAATATAAAAGTTTAAAATCCAAACATAGTTCAAATCAAGCAGATCTATAAACACATGAAAATCTTGAAAATAGACAGTTCAGATAATGTACCACAATATGTATTATTTTTAGGACTTGAATTTTTTTTTTTTTCTTTTTTTATATCCATAAATCGCGATATTGAAATGATCAATTAGATGGTTTTCAATGTGCAAATATCCTTTTTCAATAAATTTTTGAAGTGCACATTAAATTTTAATATAAATTGTTAACCTTATATAAACTTTTTCCTATAAAAATTGCATTTGTCCATCAAAAGTTCCAATCCCACTTATATAAAGCTAAACTTCACAAAAAATGTAATAACAAAATTATCAAAATTTTGTGAATCTCTCTCACACACTCTCTCTCTAGGCTTTCGACTTTTAAGTGGAAAAAGATCATATATATCTCCCTAATCTTTTGACCCATTAGTAGCAAGTAACAAAAGCTCCTCTGCACTATACACTTTTATCTTTTCCCCATAGAAACATGAAGGTATCAATATCTTAATGGTGAAACTTAAAGAACACTCTACCTAAGCCACTTTATCGTATTCCCAACCAAACAAGAAGCAACCATTTCTGTCTTATTGGTGAAACTTCAACAAGCAAAAGTTCTCAAATTTAATGAAATGAGACTTTAATTCTTCACCTCAAAGAGAACAACAATACTGCTAAAAAAAATGGAAATATTCCACAAAAGAAGATAAAACCACATTTCACTAACAGTGTCTTTGCATGTGCAACCAACCCAACCTCCTGTCTCCATCTATCTTCCAATCACTAACAAATTTGAAGCAAAAAGATGGAAAAGTATTCGTCAACCTTTTATTTATGTCATT